TGTGAAGAATCTAGGTTTTCTTTTTTTTAAAGGAACAGCCGGAGAGCCATAACAGATATATGATGAGCAGTTGCCACAGGTTTTAGGGAAGGCTATGTGGATTGTGCAAAGGGAAGGGTTATGGCCTTTGCCCCAAAGAGGGAAAGCAATGCTGGTGATCACTAGAAACTCTTTAAGCTCACTGACCCACACGGTATGCCTTTCTATTTATCCATGTGGGTGAAATGATTTTGCTGAAAGATAGACAGCAATATAAATGGTTTAAATAAAGAAAGACAGATAACATGCCCAGGTATACTGTAGTTCTGAACACGCAGCAACAGCTGGGGAGGAGGGTGAAAAGTGGGGTCACAGGCCATTTCTTGTTGAAGGATGTGGACTAGGAAAAGAAGTAGTGCTAGAAGTGAACTAAGACTGTGCAGATGGATTTGTGTGGATTTGGGAGAGGTTGTGGGAAGGAAGTGGGGAAGATGAAGAGAGGTAATATAGCCAAGATGGGAAACTGTGGGAAATAAATATTTCAGAAACACTCTGCTATAATTAATAAGTCTGCTTGTGACCTTACTATTTTCAAGATTATGCTTTTAGCTCAGACTACCATTAAATAGGACAGGGGTCTTCAAACTTGGCCTTTTTATGACTTGTGGACTTCAACTCCCAGAATTCCTCAGCCAGGGTTTTTCCCCTGAAATCCATGTGGTTTTTGCTTGGTTGGTGTGAGTCTTGACAGGATTTATCAATAATAGGTCATTTTTTTAAGATGAAGATTTCTGGTATGAGATGGGCTACACCTAAGAAGAATATGGTTGGAAAGCACCTTGTGCACATGTGGAAGAGGAGAAAGAACCCCAAGACAGTAGTGTGATGCCATGTGCCAGGACAAGACTAGGAGAATTATGCAAGATACACCATAAATAATGGCAGGAATAATCCAAGGCACCTGATCCAAGAATTCCAGAATCTCTATAAAGATTCAGAATATCAGGTGGAAAGAGGAAGAATTAGAAGTCACAATGCAGGAAGTCAAATATGATATAGTGGGCATTATTGAAACTTGGTAGGATGAAAGGAAAAATGAAAGGATATAACTTAATCAAAAGGCCAGACAAAAGGGCAGAAAGAGAAGAACATGATATGATGCAGGAATCTGACATTCCCAAATTCCCTGAAGCAGACATTCTCTTTAACCCAGTGTTTCTCAACCTTGACAATTTTAAGGCATGTGGACTTCAACTCCCAGAGTTCCACAGCCAGCATTGCTGGCTGTGGAATTCTGGGAGTTGAAGTCCACATGCCTTAAAATTGTCAAGGTTGAGAAACACTGCTTTAACCCAATTAGTAGCTGCAGAGTGTGAGGAGCCCCTGAGCCACACTGGCCTACTCCTCCCTGCAAATCTACCACAGGAGCTGAGGTACAAAGGCCTTCAGGGAGGAAGAAAGCCATTGGGGGAGGGAGGCAAGCAGGCATCCCCTTTTGCCTGCAACCTTCTGATTTTAAACTCTTCCCTACAGCAGCTTTCTGCTGCTTCAAGGAGAAAGGAGGCAACATCCAGACAGTAAAACAAAACTGGCATAACTCGGGGTCTTCATCCACTCAGTAGCCATTAACTGAGATGCAATGGGAACAGAGAGTAAAGATGAGAATAAACAAGACTATGGTGTCTTTCAGCAATCGTCATGGTCTTATGATTATATGACATATATAAATTTAATCTGCTGGAGAACTGGGACTCATATTTTTTAGTTTCCATAACCTTTACCCGCTCTTCATCCCAAATTGTATTCATTCTTGTAAATACGGAGCTAGAAATACATTGAAAAAGAGGTGTAAGGCGCTGTTTTAACTTAGATTTCCCAGTTAACTCGTCAATGTACTCATAAGAACTGCCTTTTTGGAGAAACAGCTTGAAATAAGGAGGAAAGTGGACATGCACAGCAAAAACAGAGTTATATGTGACTTTGTGCATATTACGCATGCTTCTCATAATCCAGAGAAAATTCAGCTGCTTTGAAGAAATCTGGAAAGGTGTTAGGTTGGTAACCATGTGTATCCCAAAGTGCCTTTTTGAGTTTGAATCTGCACCCCAAAGCAATTTTTTCCTTTGAATTTGAAGTCTTACACACAGTCTCTCTTGCACGTAGATTATTAGATATTGTAATCATTCTGTGAATGCAAATATAAGTTGAATGAATGAATTACAGGTACTCCTCGACTTACAACCACAATTGAGCCCAAAATTTATGTTGCTAAGTGAGACATTTGTTAATTTTGCCCCATTTTACAATCTTTTTTGCCATAGTTGTTAAGCGACTCACTGCAGTTGTTAAGTTAGTGACATGGTTGTTAAGTGAATCTGGCTTCCCCATTGACTTTGCTTGTCAGAAGGCCGCAAAAAATCAATCACATGACCCCCCAGGACACTGCAACTGTCATAAAGATGAGTCAGTTGCTAAGCATCTGAATTTTATTCACATGACTGTGGGGATGCTGCAACAATCAAAGTGTGAAAAATGGTCATAAGCCACTTTTTTCAGTGCTGTTGTAACTTTTAATGGTCACTAAATGAACTGTTGTAAGTTGAGGACTACCTGTATATGCTCAGGAAGGGATAGTTTGTCACCAGCTATTTCATGCATGGCTTTAGGAGCCGAAGAGCATGGAAAGGCCCAGCTTCAGGATAAACATCAAAATAAACAATAAAGGTTAGGGCAGGCCAACACATAGGCAAAGTATGGAGTAGGCAGGGGGAAAGGAGGGTGTTGCCTTCTGTTCATTCAGGGCAATACATCAGCTAAGTTGGTATTCTAATGCCCTGATGTTATTCACACTTCTGATTTAGTTTATAAGAGATCTGCTCCACTAGACTGCAATTATCTTAAATGATCCAAATATCTGAATTCATCTGTATATTATTAATATCAATGTGACCTTATGTAACAGGTTTAAGCTTCTTGATAATCTCTGAACAGTTTAGATAGGTGGGACTGTGATTGCTTTATTTTCTTATTTAGAATATGACTCTCCTAAGATGTTTGTTCTAGTTCTGAATTCATTTGTTACCAAAATGCTAGATTTAGAAAACAAACAGTGCCAGTGGCCATTTAGAATGGGATGTAGATAGAAAACAGATTTCTCCTACCAATTCGGAGCGATCCCAACAGTCTGGATTTCAACTGTCACAATTCCTCCATTTGGGGTACGAGAATTTAAGTCCAATATGCCAGTTTGGAAAAGTAGATATTGATGGATCTTTTAGCTCCAGTTTTTCTTCAGTTTCTTATGTTAACAATATTAGGTTATTTTCATCCTATTTCTACATAAAAATAAAGAAGTTGGCACAAAAATGGTATACATATTTTCATTTCTCTCTCTCTCTCTCTCTCTCTCTCCCTCCCTCCCTCCCTCCCTCCCTCCCTCCCTCTCTCTAATTCTACAACTAAATGCATCCTATATGCATTTTAGCATTATAAAATGTGAAGATCTGCAAACATTAAAGGATTTTCAATGTCAATTTACCTGTTGGTTCAGAACATACAAATTAGGTATGTGGGCAAAAGAAGTACACTTTCCACCCTTAAATGTGGATGAGAATATTTAAAAAAAAACCACCTTCCAAAATTATTGATATCTGATTTAAATCAGCAGTGTAGAATCCCTATCATAAACAATTGTGAATATAGGTGCTTGTGTTATTTCATCCCTTGAAGAAAAATAGGTCCAGCATTTTTGAAATACCACATGTTGCATGCTCTTACCTTAGATAGGAGTGAAATATTTAAAGATTGATTTCTGCTTTGAAAAAAAGAGTTTTCTATGGTTACTGAACTTTCTGCCCTGGTACATCTGAATGATTCTCTCTCTTTCATCATAGGTAGGTAGGTAGGTAGGTAGGTAGGTAGGTAGGTAGGTAGGTAGATAGATAGATAGATAGATAGATAGATAGATAGATAGATAGATAGATAGATAGATAGATAGATAGATAGATAGATAGATAGAAAGATAGATGATACTGTGCGGCTCTCAATAATTTAATTTGTTTTTGTTTGGTGGATCTCTGTTTAAAAAAGGAATTGATTGTCCTGACTAATTATTTTTTTAATGATGGTTTTGTTTTATTTTTGTACCACTGGAAATGTAAAATAAAAATTATTTTAATTAAATATATATGAATAAAATATGCATGACCTTTTCTTATCTTCCTTTTTATTTGATGTCTATGGAGATTCTTAGTCATCCAGATAATCATTGTCCCAAAGGTGCTTTTTCAAAAAGCAATTGGACTTTCTTTGTTTTTCCTTGAAGATATTTCACTTCTCAACCAAGAAGCTTTTTCAGTTCTTCTTCTTCAGAACTGAAGAAGCTTCCTAGAAGAGAAGCAAAATGTCTTCAAGGAAAAACAAAGGAACCAGTCGTCTTTTGAAAAAAACACCTTTGGGATTCCTTTTTGTTTCCATGCTTGTTCTGCTTTTTACTCTGTGGCCATGGAATTGATAATCGTTGCATAATAATCTGTCTTGTCTTCAACCTAGTCAAAATCATTTCCTAATCTAAATCAATCTCCTGAAAACAACAATCTGACCCAAATTATACAAGTTCAGAAGTGCAATATTTGTGGATCTTGGGAAATTAATGGCTTGGCATGCAGAAGCAGTTTATAGTTTGATGCTATGTGTTTTTTAATGAATAAAAATGTAACCATGTGATCATTTGATTTGCACTACCTCATACGTATACAGTAGTTCTAGCCATTGCTCTTTTTCTGGAAAATGGCATAGCCTTTATGATACATAATCTAGAGACCTTAGTGGTATTTGAAGCTGCCATCCTGTAGTGGCTTCTTAAGGGCAAGCTTCATTGAACACAGTGGGATTTACTTTGGAGTAGCTTTGAGATAGCGCTGCAGATAGCTGCAAGAACAACTGGAATATGAGACAGCTGCAGTAGATAGACACAAACTCCTCAGATATTTGCTTCTCAAGTTTTCTCTTTTTCTCCATAGCTCCTGCCCAGGCCCAGATCATCCATGCTGGGCAGGCATGTGTTGTAAAGGAAGATAACATCAGTGAACGAGTGTACACTATTCGGGAAGGGGACATCCTTGTTCTGCAGTGTTTGGTTACAGGGCACCCACGGCCACAGGTAAGCTTTCTCTTCTTATCATCAGAAATGTTGCTTGGCCAGTATTCTCAGATATTGTCCGCTGTATCAGTATTCTTCTTCCTTCTTCATCATTTTTTAAGATTTTATTCTGCTTGACTCTGAGCTACCCTGGGAGGCTCTCAGTAACCAAACAAAGATATTATAGTAAAACATTTAAAATAAAGGGGGGAAAAGATCGCAAGTGCAATAAAGGGAGAGGATCTCATTCTTCCTCTCTGAAGGCTCACGTTTTTCACCTTTTCCCATTCCCCTAGTTGGCATACCAAGGGCAAGGAATTGTAGAGGTTGTAGAACCAGGAAACCAATTCATACAAGCCACAATATGCAGATTCCTGGCCTATTCAATCTTGTAAAGTTGGTGTACCCTGCAGGTCTTTTACAATTCTTTTGAACAACAGGAAAGTGGTGGCTGTTTGAATCTAAGGGGAAAAATCTCATTCTAGAGTGCAGAAGCTACTGCAGAGAAGATGCTCTTCTGGGGACCCAATTGATGACTTCATATATTCAAAGAAACCAGTGGTGAGTTACAAATATGTGAACAACTGGTTCTCTGTGTGGATGCCGCTTCTGGAAGTCCATTCTGGGCCTGGGCAACAAAAAATTATCTACCGGTTCTGCCGAAGTGGTGCGAACCGGATGAATCCCACAACTGAAAGAAACCCATAAGATACTAGTCCTGCAAGATTGAATTGGCCAAGCAGAATATCTATTGTGTATGTGGCATTCAGAAATGTCCAATGTTTAATGAAATAAAAGACATTGTCAAATTCACCATCATGTGGTATATTTCTTCTGTTTTATTTCTTCCACAAAATAGAATGAATTGGTATATTGTGGCTTACATGAGTTGTCTTATCCAACAACTTCTACTAAGGAGAAACATTTAGAAGGTATGGTATTTTGTGTAAACAGTGAGTACTTTGCAGGGCCTTCTCCAGTCATTAATTTGCAGCTTTTTAGTGCTCCAGTTTTCCAGAGTAAATACTACACAGGTATTATCACAGACTGAAGATCGAAAGATTTCTCACCTTTCCACTAAACTCACATTATAAGAGTGACCATAACCTCCTTTGAAAAAGATACTTTGAAATATGTAGGAGAATATCCTAAGCATCTATTTTAAAATAATTAAAGCAGCTGTGTTCTTTTTTCCCCCCAGGTTTGTGTAGCTGCTTCAGAAGCTGCTTCTGGTTATCTTTGCATGCAAAGTGTGTATATCAGGCCAAGTTGCTTCACTGGGAGAAAAATATGGAGAGTTATTGGGGGAAAATGTGAAGCAATTGTGCCTGTATGTGCATGTGGTGACATTTAGGAGCACCTTCCAAAGCAATAATATAAGTCTGGAGAAAATTGCACCTGCTTTAACAAATTCCCCCCCAAAGTGCTTTAGATATCCAAAGTATCTCTTTCAAAATATTTTTACAGCATGAACTTGGGCTATTATTATGTAAAATGATACCACTCTCTTCAAAAAGCAAGAAAAAACTGGCTGTGGTGTAGGATATGGAATTACAAACCACATGGTCAGCTGAGCTAGCTTCCTGCACAAAAATACAATGGATATAAACTGTGTGATCTCAGTTTTGAATGGTTTCTCTATGGCGTGCATTCTTCTAACATTGTAATGTCTTGGTCTAGCCTTTTAAAGTATCTTCCTGCCTAGAGGACAAGGTTACATAGCTAGAGGCCATCAAGGTAAAGAGCTTGGAAATATATTTCTATTATTATTTAAAAGTAGAGAGAAATGGAAGATTCAGGTCTTTTTGTTCATACTATACATGACGCAGGAGGAAGACTTAGCATACAGATAAAGAATTTCTGTTCACTCATGTCATGGCTGTTATATCCATGGCATCTGAATTTACAGCATAAATATACATCCATTTTTTTATTATTTCTAGGACTCCCTCCTTTTATTTTGGTTTTCTAATGAACTAGTTTTCTTGCCTTTGCCTAATATTAGTCAGGAAGGGACAAAGTTTTGAAACTCGCTTTAAAGTTCATAAAAAAACCTTTTGATTAACAATTTGAGTGATGAGTAACACACACAGGGACCCACTGGGAACAGGCAACAATTCTTTCCCTCTTTTCTCATCCTCTTGTATTGTATCTCTTCCCTCTCTCCCCTGCTTCTCCAAATCAAAGATTTGTCTTTTAACCTTTGCTTAATCCCCTCCCAACTCTTCCCTCAATTAGTCATTAAAGTTCCAAAATATGATCAAACTAAATAAATGAAGCTGAAATGAAAAAAAGTGGAGGAAAGATTAAAGAACCAACAGAAGCAGCCATGCAAACAGAATGCTCTTTAAGAGGCTTCAGGCTTCTAATGAGAGGACAAAGGCTAAACAAATCTCTCACCGGCTGCCATTAACTCTACAGGCCGAGCAAGATGGGGTTGCTTAACCTGATCACCCCAAGCCTGAAATTCAAGCCACCTTGCATATAGGCCTGTGGGCAAGGAGAAGATTACCAAAAGCATGTGGTATGCTAATATGATTGCTTTCCAGCTTTGCAGTTTTATAGGGTTTGATAAACAACTTAATTCCCATTTGTCCCTCATGGGTTTTGTCTCAATTTGACAAATTTGTTTTGTTTAAGCTTCGGATTAGTGTCTGCAAAATGGGAATAACTTTGCCTTTCATCACACAGCGGAAAATGTGAAAAATACTTCCAGCCTGAACTGAAAATTGTCTCCAAACCCACATCTACTTTTTGTCTCACTTTTTATATCCACCCACTCTGAACCCTCCAAAATATAGTACACGAATTCCATAAAAAAAAACATTAATTGTATTTCTCCTCTTCCCACTGATCCAATCCACACATCGAGCAGGGGAGGGAAGTCAAGGAAATTAAAGAATGTGTGGACCATATCATTGCAAGGGTAGTTTTGTGGCTTGAAAGCTGCTGATTTGGTTTAGACTGACAGTAACCACATCTGCGACAAAGCTAGCCAGATTATCAGGGCTAGAGTTATGGTTATGATTGTATTAAACTATGTGGGTGGAATATAGCATGCTGTTTTCAGTATTCATAGGGCTGGTCTATCCACTTTTTTCGTCTATAATGACTAAGACTTCATACTGGAAGCTTTCTTTTTCATGCTTACAAATGTCAGTGGAAAAACTTGATGTTTTCTGTGTGGCGGATGTATGTGCCTGAGCCCTTAGCAACCTCACCAGCATCAGCTCACATCCTACCTTAGGTCAATATCCCTGATAAATAATTTTAAATTAAAGCTAACACAATTGTTAAGGAGGCCAATTTCAATTTAAAGGATCCTTTTGCTATTGGTTTTTCTGTTCTCTTTAAACGTATAGGTCTAGTTGATATTTTATGAATTAGTTCTGCTAGCTGAGGAGTGAAATCCTTACCTTACTAAAAAAAGATCAAGGTAATAATAGAAGAACTGGATGTGAGGATGGAGGGGCACTGAAGTACTACTTCCTGATGAAATTGTGGGATTTGAAACTTTACTGATTCTGGCAACCAATTAGAGATATATAGATAGTCTATATTTGGCTCCACTTGTCAAGAGAAGTTGTAAGGCAAGAAGCTAGCCTAAATTACCCTGAAGTAGGAATGCATACAGAAAAATGTCCATGTTTGCCATATGAGAAATCTGATTTTTCTGCAGAGTAGTTAGCATGCATTCTACCTACAGAAAAATTCAGATTCAATTTCTAGTAGACTCCACTTTGGATAGAGAGAATTTCCTGCCAGGAAATCTGGAGAGCTTCATCCTGTCAACCTAAATACTATTCACCTAGAAGGACCAGCCCATGAATTAACCAAGGGGTATAACCTGGCATTTTCAAGACATATCCCTGAGATTGCCAGTCGCAGAGCCCTGGATGAAAGATAGAGGCTTAGACCATGTCTTCACCATAAACCAGCATGTTTACGAACATTTGGAATAATGGGGTGGAGTAACTGATCTTTGACAATACTGTGAAACAGACCAGGGCTTGTTCTCCAATCTCAACATGTTCTGTTTGTGATTTTTATTAAAGGCATAATAGAAGCATTAGGGAAGCTATAGCTCAGTGATGGTGAACCTTTTAGAGTGTCCAAAACCCACCCTGCCCCCAGCCCACCCACATTCTGCCCCTGCCCTGCCCACCTGCAGGGCCACTCACCGCCTCCACGGCCTGCTCCAGCAGATCGCCAAGGCGCCCTTGCAATGCCATGGCTGCCACATCCTCCACCCTCATCCCACAGCATCATCCGCACATGATGGAGCACAAGGGCGGAGTCTTGTCCTTGCTGCTCGGCTGCCATGTCCTTGGCTGTGCTGCTCCGCATGGGTTGTGCCTGTGGGAGACTCTCCTCTGGGGGGAGCTACTGGTGAGGGGGGGCTGTGGGGGGAAGCAGGGCTGAGGCAATGGCACGCGTGCCCACAGAGAGGGCTCCGAGTGCCGTCTCTGGCAAGCGTACCATAGGTTCGCCACTACTGCTATAGTTCATAAGGACAGCCCTGCTGGATCAGCCCAAGACCTGGTTTACATGTTTTTGTTTCTCACAGTGGCCACTAGATACTTCTGGAATGTTCATGTAATAATTCTTTTTATCACCTGCCATGCATGAGGTTCCCCAGAAGCCCTTTCCAATACTCCAAATAGTGTTGGGATCATTTTGTGGGGCCCTTTTAGGAGGGTTAAAAGGCAAGCCTAACATTCTCATACTTACACTCATTTTGTCCTTCCCTCAACAGCTGGACTGAAAAGTAAGGCCTTGCGCATTCAGATAATCTGAACACAGCACTGTCCATACTTTTGAATTATTATTATTATTATTATTATTATTATTATTATTATTGAAAAAGCTTCAGTCCACTGCCTCAAGACAGTTGCACACTCTCAGTCTGTATGTGTTACTCATTTATTCTGTAATTTGATTCGCACAATATAGATGAGACCATACTCAAGATGCTCTTTCTGCACATATTTTTGATTTTAGTGCTAGTTCAGATTATGGCAGATTGACAGTGGCGGCTGATAACGGTGGCCTGCCTGTCCTTTTCTGGAATTAGAATTCCACCCTGGGTAGAAATACCATTATATGATTATTTGCCAACTTTCCTCATGCCCTCTGCTCACCAGTCTGCTGCTCCTGTTTCTGCATTTCCATTACATCTGTCAGCTTTCTAACCAGTTTGCCATCTGCTCTAATGAAACATGGAAGCAACGTATTGTTTTTGGCCTAGCCAATAATTTGAATATTACATGTCAGGTCCCACCTCCTTCTTCCTTTTCTTTCTTTCTACTCGATTAACCCATTTGTTTCTTCCTGCCCACCTGGGTTTATGTATCTGGATACCAAAGTAAACCCTTTCTAAATGAGAAAAATTTGAATGATTGCAGTGTGTGCTATTCCTTTTCTCAATATATTTCACTGCCATGTGTGTTTGTCTAAGGCTGTGAAATTATATATATATATATATATATGTTAAAATAAAATGAGCACCAAGGTAATTAAAACTATAAAAGTTTAATTTAAAAACGCCAAGCTTTCACCGTCACCTGGCGGCATCATCAGGGCTTAAAACGCCAGAGAGTGGGAGAGTCTCTTATAAGCAAGCCAGAGTCTGCGCCCGGCTCCTTGATCTCGTTCATTTGGAAACTCCAAATGAAAGCTTGGCAGCTTTTAGTAAAGTATATTTTTTATATTTATATTCTCCTGGTGTTCGTATTTTATTCGTACCATATATATGCAGGTCTTGGTGTATTCGGGTCTTGGCGACATTTCGACGAGGTCCCACTCGTCATCTTCAGGCTGGGGTCTTCGGCTTTGTGCTTGTGTGAGCAAAGTGTGATTGGAGCTGCCGTCACTCTATATATATTGGTGGGGGTGGCCACGCAGGAAAGAAAAACTGGACAACTTCCTCACACATCTCAACAGCCTACACCCCAAAATACAATTCACGATGGAAATAGAAGCTAACAACCAACTCCCCTTTCTGGATGTCCTAATCTACAAAAAACCCAATGGCTCCCTAGGACACACCATCTACCAGAAAAAAAAACACACACCAACTGCTACTTAAACGCACAATCCCATCACTACCCTGCACAGATCAACTCCATAGCCAAGACCCTCATATCCAGAACCAAACGCCTAGCTGACAAAGACCACCTGAAAACTGAATTACACATTCTCACAAACGTATTAATCTCCAACGGATTCCAAAGAAATACTATTACCAACATAATCCAAAGGGAAACACCCCCAAGAACCGAGACATAGAACAGTACAACAACATCGCCCTCCTCCCCTACATCTAAGGCATCACAGATAAAATCAGCAAAATTCTCCACAAACACAATATCAAGACAGCTTTCATCATCGACCAAAAAAAAAGCCAACATCTTAAGAAACCCCAAAGACACGATCCAGCTAGAAAACCAAGGGGTCTATGAAATACCATGCAAAATCTGCCCAGCCACATACATTGGACAATAGGAGAATAAATGCATGCATCGCAGAACACAAGAACGCAGTCAGAAAAGAAGAAAAAACTTCCTCCCTCTTCCAGCACCTTAAAGCTACAGGACATGAAATTGATTTTGAAGGAACCAAACTAATCTCCAAAACTGAACACCACAACTAGAGAATAATTATGGAAGCCATTGAAATAGAAAAACACCCCCACAACATGAATAAACATGATGATACCTCCCGCCTACCAGACATCTGGAAATGAGCCTTAATCAACAAACAAGTCCTAGCCACGAAAACTGACACTGGACCCAGAACAACACATTATGCCATCACCATTCACCCTCACCAGACCCAAACCCAAGCCCAAACCCATCCCTCAGATGAAATGCAACCACCATCCAGAAGCCAAACCACGACGACATCACCAGCTGCTGCACTCCCTCCAACCCCCACACAAAGCAAACAGACACATGCCATGAACACAGAGCTAGACCACAAACTCGGAGCCATACCAAAGCCTGGTATGTTACTTCACAGCCTTCAGCCCTGGACATCACATCACAGAACTCAGCAGGCTACAACACTAAAGCTCAGGATGTTACAACACAGTCAACCACCCAGGATGGTGCAATACAGAACTCAGGATATCACTACACTAGATCTCAGGATGTCATCACACAACCCATTACCCACGTCGTTACAACACAAAAGACTAAAGGGCACACAGCCAGCACCTCAACTACTCAGGATGTTACAAAACAGCCAAACAATCCACAAACAATAACTCCAACACAGCCAACCAATCCACCTATAGCAACTAAGCCATCACTCCACACACCCCCACCAATATATATATAGATGGCAGCTCCAATCACACTTTGCTCACACAAGCATGAAGCCAAAGACCCCAGCCTGAAGATGACGAGTGGGACCTCGTCAAAATGTCGCCAAGATACTCTCAATCTTACACAGGAAAAGACCCAAATACATAAGACCTGCATACCTATACCCGTGAAAATCTACACACACACACACACACACACACACACACACACACACACACACACTAGTGATATAGAATCCTCGAACTCTGGGATAACTGAAAATAGCTGTTTATTGTTAAAATGATAAAAACCAATAAAACAATAAAAACAACCATTCATAACATCGAAAATCTATTTTCTTAGCTTTCGCTGGTCTGCTGCCTGCATCATCAGAGTACGCTTTGGAGGGTGGAGAGTCTGCTTATAAGCCTGGGATTCGTATTTTTAAAATTATATATAGTTATATATACAACTATATATAACTATACACACACACACACATATATATACATACATACATATCAGAATTTTCCCCATAAAATAAAATACAAATTGAAAAGAAATGAGAAAGTACAAAAAATAAAAAAGAAATTGAAATTAAGAAACATATAAATGACTTCTGATCTTCTTTTCAATTGCAATTTCATTATCTCTATCCCTAAGATGTTATACAAATCCCTTCAGCCCTTATTTAATCTTCAAATCCATAAATCATCATGTAATTTCTTTCTTCTTCTCAACAGAAATTCCATATAAGGTTTTTAGTCTTTCAGAAAAAAAATTGTTTTTTTTTCTCCCATCATTTCTGCAAGTTCTGATATTTTTACAATCTACTTCTATCGCTTTACCCTTTTCAACTCTGCAAAACATTCATTCACTGCCCAGATCACTTAGATAATAAAATAAATAACAAAATGGAATTATTGTATTCAAACAGAAGCATAAACATCCTGGGAAGATTAATTAAGAAAAGCAACATAGTGTATCTGCATCTCATCCTTCTGAAAACTAACCATTTCAGGATTCTCAGGGTCTAGAGAGAATTGACTGAAACTTACTCTGCTCAGAAATGTGATGATCCCAATTAGCCCTGATGTAGCTATGCAAATGTGGCTTCCGAAGCATGCATGATAGCTAATCAAAAGCAAAATAACAGGAGTTACTGCTAATATCCTTGGAATCTCCAGAGTTATCAAGAGAGTGTTCTTTATCGGCAAAAATATATATGTTGCTTGGGGAGCAATATTTTTTGACCCAAGTGTGAAGTCAAAAGGCTGATTCAGATTGTGCAGAAAACTAATGTGAGACATAAAACATATGCCAATTCCATATTAATTTAAATGCTGAAAACATTTTTTTAATGAGAAACAGAAGGATCAGATGCAAAAATCCTAGGTCTAAAGGTGTATTATAGTAACAACCCAGAAATATAGGTAGTTCTTGATTTATAGCGACCGTTAGAAGTTACAACGGCACTGGAAAAAGTGACTTAAGACTGCTTTTTTACACTAACAACCATGGCAAACATCCCCATGGTCATGTGATCAAAATTTGGGCGCTTGGCAACTGGCATATATTTATGACAGTTTGCACTGTCCCAGGTCATGTGATCAACATTTGTAACCTTTTCAGCTGGTTTCTGACAAGCAAACTCAATGGGGGGAAGCCAGATTCACTTAACAACTACAGTGATTTGTTCAACATCTATGGCAAAAAAGATGATAAAATGAGGCACAACTCACTTAACAGCTGTCTTGCTTAGCAATGAACATTTTGGCCTCAATTGTTATAAGTCAACGACTTTCTGTATCAGTTATCAATAAATCTACAGATAAACACCCAGCTCTCTGTCCATTAGGACACAATGGCAGGAGAAAGAGAGATAAGACTGGCATTTGGGGACTGTGACCTACTTGGCTTATGGGACATGGTTAGTAGTTGTTAGTTTTCTGTTCTAATGATAATTTTTCAAATATCTAATAAAACTAGACGCTCAAAGGCTGCGCCCTGAAATCTCTGCCTGCTAGACTTCTAGTTTTGACTGTCAGTCTAGAGCAGTGTTTCCCAAACTTGACAATTTTAAGGCATGTGGACTTCAACTCCCAGAATTCCACAGCCAGCAACGCTGGCTGTGGAATTCTGGGAGTTGAAGTCCTCATGCCTTAAAATTGTCAAGTTTGGGAAACACTGCTCTAGAGGAAGCCTGACATTGATATTCGCTCTGGCATTTACCACATTGTTCATGTTTATATATATTTAATTGTTTTGTATGTTTGTATATTAAATGCTACACTGTGTACAGGTGTATTATATACATATTGCCTGCAGATGCATAGCATGATAATCAGCTTAAAAGCATTTCAAACAAATAGATGGATCCGGAGCCCAGATCAAAGTTTGCTTGTTTCTTATGCTTTATTTCTCTCTGCTTCTCTCCTTCCCCTCCTCTAGGTGAGGTGGACCAAAACTGCTGGCAGCGCTTCGGACAAATTCCAGGAGACATCGGTGTTAAATGAGACCCTTCTGATTGAGAAGATCCACAGGCTTCAGGGGGGTCGTTATTACTGTAAAGCAGAGAACGGGGTTGGGGTCCCTGCCATCAAGTCCATTCGAGTAGATGTGCAGTGTAAGTCATTTTGCGGCCATCCAAGACTTCTCACAGTTCTACTGTGTATATCTTGATTGCTTGGCTAGTGAAATTCTGCATTGACCTAGACTCATTCTCATACCTCTGAGGCAAAGGGACAGATCTTGTTTTATCCACGCTCCCTTTTCTGAAAGTGCTGGTCTTGGACAAAAAGTTCTCATGAACTTAGGGTCAGATAAGAAGGCATGTGTACTATAATCAATGGCATGCTGCAATTTGATGAAACCCATTTGGATAAAAGAAATCTTAGTCAGCTGTGCAGTGATGGGATTTCCTTGCTCATTTCAGATATAACCCTGGGTTTAACACTAAATGAGGAAGCAGATGCAAGTCTGTTTGCTTCTAGTCAGGTAGTCATACAGAAATCAAGAACCTCTGCTTCCTCTTTTAATTTAACTAAATGTTAATTCATCTAATGAGAATTGGAACACTAGCTAGTTAAAAAGAAGGTAAGTCAAAAGGATGCCAACCAAATATTTTGGGTTAACAACTTCAGCTTCAGGTTGTAGCCAGGAATTAGATTACAAAAGTCCTTCTTCTGAGTCATGGTTGTACAATGGTTAGAATGCAGTTTGGCAGGCTAATTTTGCTGACTGCCAGCAATTCCATTCTCACTGGCTCAAGGTTGACTCAACCTTCCATCTTTCCAAGGTCGGTAAAATGAGGACCCAGATTGTTGGGGGCAATATGTTGTCTCTGTAAACCACTTAGAGAGGGCTGTAAAGCACTGTGAAGCAGTAAATAAGTCTAAGAGCCATTGCTGTTATTGGAATTGGAATTCAAAATATCTGCAGAGCACTAGATTGCTATGTCTTGTTTAAAACTTGATTTGCTCTTCGGCTGTTAATGAACAGTCATTGGAACTAATCAGAATGTTCTAGGTTCAAACTCCTGTCTGGCTTAATGTCCTCTCTCTATGGCCACACAGGAGGAGAAAGAAGTAGCCTAAGACTGGGTTCTCTTTGTTCTACTAATGATAAACCATAGCTTAGTATTATACAAAATAGATCTTTCATTGTAATAATGAACTCTATATTAGATTCCGTTACATGAAACTAAAAGCCCTTCTATTTTACTTGCCTTCTAACATGAGGCTCATCTAACTGGCAAAGTATTAACCCTCCAAGGTAGACCAGACTAGGAAATCAGAGTTAATGCTAGTTTATGATAAGGTTATAACAACAGTTTTGCCAGTCCAAATGCAATTTCCCCTCCTTCCCTTTACTTTGGTGAAAAACGGGAGGGTCTTGTCTGGGATACTTACTTGGATTTCAGATCTGCTCCAGATATCTTTTATTTCATTGTGATTGCAGTTCTTCCTTCTATTCCTCAAAGTTATTCCTTCTACCCCTTACACAAGGGTGTTGATTCACCCAGTTGCACAAATAAACACATAAATGATAGGATAAAATGAGAACACAATGATTAAACCCCAGGGCTATCTTAATCTTTTAATAAAATCATAGAATTCCAATCTGCTCTTTGGTGCAGAATCCATTAGAGCATTGCTGCATGAAGATCTCTAGTGAAGAACATACCTCTTCGTGTGACAATCTCTTCCACTGGTTGACGGTTCACATAGCTTTTAAAAATTAAATTTCCTGTTAAAGTCTAGCCTGATGTCCTTGTATTTTAGAATAGAATAGAGCTGGAAGGGACCTTGGAGGTCTTCTAGTACAGCCCCCTGCTTAAGCAGGAGAACCTATACGATCACAGAGAGGTGAATGTCTAGTCCAGTGGTAGCGAACCTATGACACGGGTGTCAGAGGTGGCACTCAGAGCCCTCTCTGTGGGAACATGCACTGTCGCCCCAGTCCTAGGCCTTCAGCTGGGTTTTATAAAACCTTTTCACTTTAGGCCTTTGCCGTCATGTGCAAAAAAAAAAAAAAGGTTCAATCAGTCAATTTCAACTTCTCGCGGGAAAAAAAATCTTGCAAAGTTGGAATTGATTGACTGAACTTTTTAGTCCCACCCAGTCTGCCATTACCATCACAGCCACACCCAGCCAATGGGCCACACCCACCCAATTGGCTACATCCAGCCAATGGGCCACACCCAACCAATGGGCCGCACCCACCCAGCATCCGACAATGCATAAGAGGGTTTGGGGTTGCAGTTTGGACACTCGGTCTCTAAAAGGCTCGCCATCACTGGTCTAGTCCCTTCTTAAAAATTGTAAATTGGTTCTAGTCCTATTTTCTCAAGCAACAGAGAGAATTCACTCCTCCTTCTGTATGATAGCTCTTCAGCTTTTTGAAGGTTGCTATCATCTTTCTTGTGTCATTTTATTTGTGGGCTGAACATACCCAGATACTTTCCATTTCTGACAAACATTCCTGACCAGACTTGATTTTATACAATTCACCATCTTAATAGCGCTTCTTTGAAATGTATCCAACATGGCACTGTTGCTTTGAAAGTGATATGCCCAAAACTAGATATAGTTCTACATAAGGGTCTCATCTAGGCAGAGTACAGTGGGAAAAATTACTTCCCATGTTCTACAGTTAAACCTTGGCTTACTACAGTTCATTTAGTGACCATTTCAAGTTACAACTGCACTGAAAAAAGTGACATATGACTGTTTTTCATACTTACCGTTGCAGCATCCCCATGGTCATGTTATCAAAATTCAGACACTTGACAACTGACTCATATTTATAACAACTTCACTGTCCCAGAGTCATTTGATCCTCTTTTGTGACTTCCTGACAAGCAAAGTCAATGAGAAAACCAGATTCACTTAACAACCCTGTTACTAACCTAACAATTGCAATGATTCACTTAACAACTATGGCAAGAAAGGTCGTAAAAGGAGGCAAAACTCACTTAAGAATTGTCTTGCTTAGCAACAGAAATTTTGGGCTCCACTGTGGTCATAAGTCAAGGACTATCTGTATTCTCTGTGCTCCTGATAGCATTTACCCTTTTAACATCATGTTGCTGGCTCATGTTTAACTGATAGCTGATAAGGACTATTTCAATATACTACTGCGAAGCCTAGTTTCTCTCATTCCTATGGTAGTTTGCCTAGATGAATGCTTTGTGTAGAATTGTATGTAGTTCTTGGCACATCAGTTTCAAAGGGACAGTGACATACTGGAGAAATTTTGAAGAGTGACTATCAAGATGGTGAAGTGTCTAAAATCAAGTCTGGTAATTATTATTATTATTATTATTATTATTATTACATAATATAATAATAATAGTAAAGTTGGAAGGAACCTTGGAGGTCATCTAGTCCAACCCCCTGCTCAGACAGGAAACCCTATACCATTTCAGACAAATGGTTGTCCAATCTCTTCTTAAAAACTTCCAGTGTTGGAGCGTTCACTGCTTCTGGAGGCAGGTTGTTCCACTGGTTAATTGTTCTAACTGTCAGGAAGTTTCTCCTTAGTTCTAGGTTGCTTCTCTCTTTGGTTAGTTTCCACCCGTTGCTTCTTGTCCTGTCTTCAGGTGCTTTGGAAAATAGCTTGATTCCCTCTTCTTTGTGCTAGCCCCTGAGATATTGGAACACTGCTATCATGTCCCCCCTCGTCCTTCTCTTCATTAAGCTAGACATACCCAATTCCAGCAGCCGTTCCTTATATGCTTTAGCCTCCAGGCCCCTAATCATCTTTGTTGCTCTTCTCTGTACTCTTTCTAGAGTTTCAACATCTTTTTTACATCGCGGTGACCAAAACTGGATGCAGTATTCCAAGTGTGGCCTTACCAAGGCATTGTAAACTGGTATTAACACTTCATGTGATCTTGATTCTATCCCTCTGTTAATGCAGCCCAGCACTGTGTTGGCCTTTTTGGCAGCTGCAGCAGACTGCTGGCTCATATTTAAGTGATTGTCCACTAGGACTCCGAGATCCTTCTCACAATTACTACTATTGAGCAAGGTACCCCCTATACTATACTTGTACATTTGGTTTTTCTTGCCTAAATGTAGAACCTTGCTTTTTTCAACATTGAATTTCATTTTGTTAAATAGTGCCCAGTGTTCAAGTCTGTCCAGATCCTTCTGTATCTTAAGCCTGTCTTCTGGAGTGTTGGCTATTCCTGCCAGCTTGGTGTCGTCTGCAAATTTGATAATCAGGAATGATTGTCAGGAATGGAAAGGATCTCGGTATGTTCAGCCTACAAATAAGATGACTGAGAGAGACACTATTGCAACCTTCGCATCATACAGAAGAAGGAATGAACTTTCTCTGTTGCTTGAGAGAATAGAACTAGAACCGATTTACAAGGATAACTTGCATAACTTTAACAGGAGATCAGATAAATTCATGGAGATCAGATAAATTAAATAAATTTATGAATGAACAAATTCAAAACTTAAAAAGTAAAAACTCAGTTCGCTTAATGGCAATTGTGGGAAAACATCAGTATGCCTGTCTGTGGGTGCTTTAGAGGTAATTAGCGCTGGTGAAAATGTACCCTGGCCTGATCCTGGAAGATTTTTCTTACATTGATAATCACCTGTTCAAATATCTGATCATGAATGATATAATTATCTTCACTTTCCTGCTTTCCTGAAATGTTTACACTGGTTCAGTCAATACACTTCTTGCTTTCTCCCAGGCTGCTAGAAGAGGGAAGCCACTGTTGCCTTCTGCCAGCTAGCAAAGAGCAATTGGAAAGTGGTTTTGGAATGCATTTCCCTAAAGAGAATGTTGTGACAATATATACTTAAACATTTCTCATGTTACTTCATAGCCTGCCCTGTCCCTCCCAAAAGACCATCCTTACCTGTATATTATTTTTAATTATATATGTACAAAACATTAGCATAAGGAGCCCCTTTAGTGCCAACTGCAGAGCAGTTTTTAAAATCTTATCTAGGAAATTAATGTTCTTTTCTTGAAATATTTAAGAGAAGCCGCACCAACTTGTCATCGTCCTCATTGTTTGGAAATTTGGGGTATTGCATTTAAAACACAGCTAGAGACTGTGCCAATTTTGTTAAGTCTGGTTTAGGTTTTTCTTCTTGT